GCCCGAAACGTCAGCCTCTCTGCTCCTATGATGCTGCTTGGCCTGCTGTGTTCATCCAGCCCTGCACCTTGTTGTCTCGGATTCTCCAGCATCTGCAGTTCCTACTATCTCTCTCAATCAGGGTGGGAGGTCCTTTCTTCCCACTCTCTGTATATAATCATGTTCAATTTGCCTGGCGCTGTTAGCTCACCAGATTACACATCATTATCTTTCAGAATTTCTTAACATGCAACTCCTCGAGCACCTCACTTTCTCCTTCCACTTGTCATTTCAAACCCAATCTTCACACCCAAACTTGCACAGAGCTCCATTTGCCTTGCTTCCTCCTCAACTCTTCTGCACCTCGCTGGTGTCCTATGCTATAAAACACAGTCCTCCTCTTTGAAAGGAGCCAACGGTGCTGACTATACCCGGTCAAACAGCAAAATGCCGGCCCCAGTGACAGTCTCTAGCAACCTGATACATAGGAACTCAGATCTAAACATTACGTGAGGAAGGTCCAGTTCAAAGTTCTCTCTATAAAGGGATTTATAAAAACAACAGCACAGGCAGTTCCAGTCATAAAGTGACCTGGTGCCTTATGAGTCACCAAACATGTGGTGTCCCTACCTCTGAACTAGGAGGCCTCGCTTAAAGTCCCAACTGCCCCAGAGATGTGTAATAACATCTCTGAACAGGTTTATTAGAAAAATATGTATAATAGCCTCTGTCAACACAGAATGTAATGTTCAAATGATAACATTAATGAGCCAAAGTTCATTCCATTATCAGGTGTTAGTGTGTTTTTATTAACTTATGAGCAGTCCTGGATCAGTGTGGTAGATTTTGACTCTCTCTGGGTTCGGTCTAAGAAATAATCTCTATTCCTTTCCACTTTGCCGGAAAATGAGGTTGGAGAAGTAGTAACAGGGAGCAAAGAAATGGTGGAGGAACTGAATAGGTACTTTGCATCAGTTTTCACAGTGGAAGATGCCAACAGTATACCAGAACTTCAAGAGAGTTGGGGCAGAGGTGGGTGTAGTGGCCCTCACTAAGGAGAAGGTGCTGGGGAAGCTGAAAGGTCTGAATGTGGATAAATCACCCAGACCGATGGACTACACCTCAGAGTTCTGAAGGAGATAGCTGAGGAGATTGTAGAGGCATTGTTGGTGATCTTTCGGGAATCGCTGGAGTCAGGGATACTCCCAGAGGACTGTCAAATAGCTAATGTAACACCCCTGTTTTAAGGAGGGAGGTCAGAAGAAGATAGGAAATTATAGGCCGGTTTGCCTGACCTCAGTATCAAAAACAGAAGTTGCTGGAAAAGCTCAGCAGGTCTGGCAGCATCTGGGAAGAGAAATCAGAGTTAACGTTTCAGTTCCAGTGACCCTACCTCAGAACCAGACCCGAAACGTTAATTCTGATTTCTCTTCACAGACGCCACCAGACTTCATAGATCATAGAATCCCTACAGTATGGAAACAGGCCCTTCGGCCCAACAAGTCCACACCGACCCTCAGAGTATCCCACCCAGACCCATCCCTAGACACTATGGGCAATTTACCACGGTCAATCCACCCTAACCTGCACATCTTTGGATTGTGGGAGGAAACCGGAGCACCCAAAGGAAACCCAGGCAGACACGGGGAGAATGTGCAAATGCCGCACAGACAGTTATCCAAGGCTGGTATCAAACCCGGATCTCTGGCGCTGTGAAGCAGCAGTGCTAACCACCTGCTGAGCTTTTCCAGAAATTTCCATTTTTATTTCTGATTTCCAGCATCCTCAGCTCTTCTGGATTTTATTTAGCCTGAATTCAGTCATTGGTAAGATTTTAGAGTCCATTATAGTGAGAGGCAGCACAGTGGGGGAGGATCACTGGCTCATGTGCATTCAGTGTCCAACTGAGGGACCTGCCATTTGAAAACTGGAGAGGGGAATGGGCACAGCATAGAGACCTACTCTCTCCCCTTTCCTCCAACACCACTTCCAAATCCCTGCACCCAATCTACTTCCCCTGGGGTCTAATGGTGAGTCCATACAAGGTGAGTGTATTCTGGGCAGGGACTATCCCATAATGGCTCTGGGAGAGGTGTCAGCGTATGTCAGAACGGTTAGCCACCATTAACACCAAAATCTGGGCCTGTTCTGGTAAATGGCTGGATTATAAATTATAATAAAAGCATGATGCATGTGGGAGTGTACCTCCGGGTATGAGACTGAAATTTAACCCTGTTCCTTTTCTCACCCAGATTGGAGCCTCCCTGTTTGCCAGTAACATCGGCAGTGGTCACTTTGTGGGATTAGCTGGGAATGGCGCAGCTGGCGGAATAGCTACAGGAGGATTCGAATGGAATGTACGTACTCACTGATAGTCTCCAGAGAATCCGCACTATCATTACATCCAGTTATGGTTAACCTGGCAATGGGCTGGGACAGGAAATAAGAGACTGTAATCTAGATAGCCAGTTAGTTCCAAAGAACAATCAGTAATTAGCCTTGCTTACAGATGGAAAGATGGTGGAGGATTCAGTATTTTCTGATCTCTTTAATGATTCCTGAATAAAGCGCTGATTTACGTTGGGAGCAATTCCAGGCATTGTGCTCCCATTATCCTACTGAGGGGCATTTTCTAAGTGGGGGTACAGCCAATTGGAGTGACTAGGATCTGTGATACCCGACATTCCCGGGACTACTCCCAGTCAATGTCCGCACTCACACATCTCAGTGAGATAGCAACGAACAGGATGGTGGGGCATGGTCTGGACCCAAAGCACTGAAGTGAATTTTCACACATTTCCCTGTGGGTTGTACTGATCCTGATTGGCCAGCTCAGGGTTACATGTGACCTTTAAACTCTCACATCTGAGCATCGGCAATTCTTAAATTTATTGCTGCCAAGGTCAACCTTTGACCCCTGAACTGAGTGACTTGCTGGGCTGGATGTTAAGAGTTGAACAGCTCGCTTGAGCCCGGAGTCACATGTAGGCCAGAGCAGGTAAAGCTGGCAGATTTCTTTTCCTAAAAGGATATTAGTGAAACATCACTGAGACTAGACTAATTCATTAAATCCCACAAACTGTCTGGGTGGGATTTGAACTCACCGACCATTAGCCTGGGGCCTACTTAGGCCACTCACCCAATGACGGTACCACTAGGTCCCCATTTCCCCACTTCAAGTGACATTAGCGCACCTCTTCCTTCCTAGCAACTCGCCCACTCCCCATCTTCCCCTCACTGCCTCACCACTCACCTTTTCACACCCACTGACTACAACAGACAGGCCACTCCAAAAGCAATAGAAACCGCTCTCAACAAGAGGCCTATCATGTAGCTCTTGGTGACTGATACTTTGAACAGTTTCACAGTCTGCAAACAAATAACAAAGACGGTTCAGACGTGCAATGGTCAGAGAAACAGCAGGAATTGGGAAGAATCCAAATCTCTAGGTGACACGTCCTGAAAACATGCCAGGGTTTACACATTAGATAAAACACAATATAAAATTAAGTAACAGAACAAACCACAGACTGAACGAGTTCCTATAAAAGTTTCTTTTATTTATTCATGGGATGAGGGCGTCACAAGTCAGGCCAACATTTATTGCCTGAGGACAGTTAAGCATCAGTCACGTTGCTGTGCACCTGGGGTCACAGGTAGGCCAGACCAGGTAAGGATGGCAGTTTCCTTCCCTAAAGAAGGTTAGTGAACCAGGTCAGTTTTTCCCTTGACAATCGATTCATAGTCATCATTAGACTCTTAATTCCAGAATTTTTAATCGAATTGAAATTCCACCATCTGCCATGGCAGGATTCAAACCCAGGTCCCCAGAACATCACCCAAGTCTCATAGATTAACAGTCCAGTGATAATACCACCAGGCCATTGTCATTTTCACCTCTCAACCAGGTGAAGTATGTTGTTGGTCTTTAGTTGGAGCTAGAGAAGGTGATATAGAACTTGCTGCAAGGCTTGCTCTGCTGTGCCTTATTATTTCTGCAAATTAAGTTACATTCTCTGAATTCATAAACATTTCCAAATGGTATATTTCCACGATTTTGTTAGAATGAGTTGAAGCAGAAACCATGGCACCATCAAAGTTCAATGCAGAATTGATGATGGATCACAAAGGTACCTCACTTGTTTTTGAGCCCAGGGATTCTTCTACATCAATATAATCAGTATGTTACATCCGTGCTGTAACCTTTCGTTCCTGTACCTCTACCAGGCCCTCGTCATTGTCATTATTCTGGGATGGCTGTTTGTACCAATCTACATTCGAGCTGGGGTGAGTAGCTCCTTGTTTCGATGCTTTTCTGCGATGATCTCAGGCTGTCTTAATTTCTCGTGCTTGCACCACACTAACTGTCTCCTCTCCTCAAGGTTGTGACCATGCCGGAGTACCTGAAGAAGCGATTTGGGGGGAATCGGATCCGAATTTATCTGTCTGTGCTCTCACTTTGCCTCTACATATTCACCAAGATATCGGTACGTTCCCAGCAGCCTTCAGCCAGGTCATGGACCTGTTAGAGAAACAGCACAGCTCAAAATGTGGGAAATTCGATGATCAATTACTCTGGTAAACAAAACCTTGAGATGCTGCACAGGAACAGGAGATTTTTCAATTTTTTTTTCATGTGACATGGGCTAAGCCAATATTTATCGCCCATCCTTAATTTCCCAGAAGGTAGCTAAGAGTCAACCACATTAAAGTGGATCTGGACTCTCTCTCCTTCCCTCAAGGACATTAGTGAACCAGATGGGTTTTTACAACAGTCGACATTAGATCAGCTTTTACTTCCAGGTTTTTGTTTATTGAATTTGAATTTCTCCATTTGCCATGGTTGGATTTGAAACCATGTTCCTACTACAGGTTCCTACTCAAGCAACATTACCGCTCCATCACTGCCTCCCCATATTGCCAAACCACATTCCCGCTCTCTGATATTCCATGCCCGGAACAGGGGATCAAACAAAGAGATAATGGTGACAGGGAAAGATGCAAGATCCATCCCTTGTCACAGCCTTGTGCATAGTAATACACCCAGCCCTCCATCCCCCACAGCCAAAAGCTATAAATGTGTACATAGGAAGAAATTGCTTCCACTCATCAACCAATCAGGAATGGACGGCACAGATTTAAATTAATTAGCAAAAGTGGAATGAGGAAGAACTTTTTCACACAGTTAAGTGCTTAGACTCTGGAATGCTTTCCCTAAGGCAGGGAAAAGGCAGGAGAATGCCATGAGGTGAGATGTTTATTCCAGAGCCAGCACCAACACAATGGGTGAATGGCATCTGGAACAATTATATGTTTCTGCAACAGGGTCAAATGAGAGTTACTCAGCAGATGCACCAAGGGGAGATGTTTAATAATAATGTAGAGTGTAAACTGGCAAGTGCTAAAAGTATAAAGCACAGAAGTGAGAATGTGGACTAAGTTGTGTGGAGTTACACTTTCTGGGTGAAATAACTCCACAGAGGCTGGTATCCCATCACCAAGTTAGCCTCTCTGCTCCTATGATGCTGCTTGGCCTGCTGTGTTCATCCAGCCCCGCACCTTGTTGTCTCACCTTTTATTTACAGGTGGAGAGTCCTTGACACTGGTCCAGCTCCCTCAGAGCCAGCTCTCAGCGTGTCAGAATGTCTGACACACCTCTTTTTTATCTGTCAGCCAGGGCTCCCTGATTGGACCAGGTTAACAGCCCCAATCAGGGAACTCATATTCTATGGGTCCACCTGGCTGACCTTGTTACAATCACTACACTGGGGATCACAGCATCTTTAAGCCGAGACTGTTCTCAGAAGGTGATATGGCTGGGGTAGGACCCGCAATGGGGCCTGTTGTGCAAGGACAGAGAAAGGCATGAGCTTGATAACCATAAGCCTGGGCACCATGGTGGCTCAGTGGTTAGCACTGCTGCCTCACAGTGCCAGGGACCTGGGTTTGATTCCACCCTCAGGTGGCTGTCAGTGTGGAGTTTACTGTGTCTGCGTGGGTTTCCTCCAGGTGCTCTGGTTTCCTCCCACAGTCCGATGTGCAGGCTAGGTGGATTGGCCATGGGAAATGCAGGGTTACAGGGATATGAAAGGGTGGGTGTGGGCCTGGCTGGGATGCTCGTCAGTGTGGACATGATGGGCTGAATGGCCTGCTTGCACACTGCAGAGATTCTATGATATGCCAGACAGCTTGCTTGTGAATGCATGGTGCTAACTTGCTAGAATGAAACCCTGAAGGAATTCAACTGTCTTTTTTCATATCAGAATGCTCGAATTCCTTGAACATTCCTCTGAATCTGTGTGAACTTCGCCAGCCGTTCTCCAACCCTTTGCAGATGACACTAAGATTGGTGGAGTAGCAGATAGTGATGGGGACTGTTGGAGAATGCAGCAGAATATACATAGATTGGAGAGTTGGGCGTAGAAATGGCAGATGGAGTTCAATCCAGGAAAATGTAAGGTGATGCATTTTGGAAGATCCAATTCAAGAGCGAACTATATGGTAAATGGATAAGCCCTGGGGAAAATTGATGCACAGAGAGATCTGGGTGTTCAGGTCCATTGTACTCTGAAGGTGGCAATGCAGGTCGATAGAGTGGTCAAGATGGCATATGCCATCCTTTCATTCATCGGACGGGGCTTTGAGTACAAGAGTTGGCAGGTCATGTTACAGTTGTATAGGACTTTGGTTCGACCACATTTGGAATACTGCGTACAGTTCTGGTCACCATATTACCAAAAGGATGTGGATGCTTTGGAGAGGGTGCAGAGGAGGTTCACCAGGATGTTGCCTGGTATGGAGGGCACTAGCTATGAAGAGAGGTTGAGTATATTAGGATTATTTACATTAGAAAGACGGATGTTGAGGGGGACCTGATTGAGGTGTACAAAATCATGAGAGGTTTGGAAAGGGTGGACAGCAAGAAGCTTTTTCCCAGAGTGGGGGACTCAATTACTAGGGGTCGCGATTTCAAGGTGAGAGGGGAAAAGTTTAAGGGAGATATGCATGGAAAGTTCTTTACGCAGAGGGTAGTGGGCGCCTAGAACGCGTTGCCAGTGGAGGTGGTAGAGGCGGGCACGATAGCGTCATTTAAAATGTATCTAGACAGATACATGAATGGGCAGGGAGCAGAGGGATACAGATCCTTGGAAAATAGGTGACAGGTTTAGATAGAGGATCTGGATCGGCGCAGGCTTGGAGTGCTGAAGGGTCTGTTCCTGTGCTGTAATTTTCTTTGTTCTTTGTTATTTGTTCTTTGTTCTTTGTATAAAGCCCCACCCCCTAAGATCTGGTTACTCTTCCAATTCTGGCCCCCTGCTGTGCGCCAGGTTCCTTTGACCAATTACTGATGACCATTCCAAAGCTTCTCACCTCTCCCTCTCTTTTGTCCCGTAAAAATTTGCTTAAGAATGTAACTCTTTATTCCCGCTGCCCTTATATCTCGATGGCTTGCTTTCAGATCATGTTTGGTAATACTCCTGGGAAGAGCTTTCTCGTTTTTCCTTCACCCTGTGAGAGGTGCTGTTGTAAATGGAGACACAGTCTGATTCACAGGTCCTTCCCTATTGCTAAGTCTTTGTCAGACTTTAGATCACTCTTAGGGGACAGCAAGGACTGCAGATGCTGGAAGCCAGAGTCAATAAACGTGGAACAAAAACAGAAATTGCTGGAAAAGCTCAGCAGGTCTGGCAGCTTTCTGAGGAAGGGTCACTGGACCCGAAACGTTAGCTCTTGATTTTTTTTCATCACAGACACTACCAGATCTGCTGAGCTTTTCCAGCAATTTCTGTTTTTGTTCCTGATTTACAGCATCCGCAGTTCTTTTGGTTTCAATGAAGGTGGAGCTGGACAAACACAGTAGGTCAGACAGCATCAGAGGAGCAGGAAAGTCAACATTTTGGGCCAAAACTCTTTGTCCTGATGACTTTGTCCTGTCCTTGCTGCTCCTCAGATGCTGTTTAACCTGCTATGTTTGTCCAGCTCCACTTTTATTGACTTTAGATCACTCTTACTCATGGGATCTCAGCTCCTTTAGCAGTGCATGTTATAACCATCCAGAATATATGCAATGGCTTGAGTGATCAGCGCACAGTGTGAAGATTGATCCGTATCACTGCTTCACACGCACACCTTTATTACTATTAAACTTGCTGACATGTACAATAAGGTTTAATGCTTTGAGACGGGTTGTGGCCATTAAATCAATTGTTAACAAAAATTTCACACGCAAGAGTGCAGAGGTCACTTCAACTTACTTGGACTGATGCCTTAGTGTAATAATATTAATAATCGCACTTACTTTCAGTATGACTGCAGTGAACATGTAGGGACTGAACCATAACAGGACAATATATTGACTAGAAACAATGCAAGGAGTTTCGACACATCACATGTAGTCTGTAATAACAAGGTGTGGAGCTGGATGAACACAGCAGGCCAAGCAGCATCAGAGGAGCAGGAAAGCTGATGTTTTGGGTCTGGACCCTTCAACATGTAATCTGTATTTGTTTTACCCACCTTTAACCACTGAGCTGATTTCATAGAATCCCTAAAGTGTGGAAGCAGGCCATTCAGCCCATCGAGGCCACACTGACCCTCTGAAGAGTACCCCACCCAGACTGCCTCCATGTAACCCCGCATTTCCCATGGCTAACCCACCTAGCCCTCACATGCCTGGACACTATGGGACAATTTAGCATGGCCAATCTATCTAACCTGCACATCTTTGGACTGTGGGAGGAAACCAGAGCACCTGGAGGAAACCCACGCAGACACGGGGACAATGTGCAAACTCCACACAGACAGCTGCCCAAGGGTGGGATCGAACTCAGGTCCCTGGCGCTGTGAGGCAGCAGCACTAACCGCTGAGCCACCCTTGAATTATCTTCAGGAAATATAGGAGATTGGTTAGACCACATCCAGAGAGCTATGTGCAGTTTTGGTCTCCTTATCTCAGGAAAGACAATATTGCCGTAGAGAGAGCGCAACCAGACATGTTCCGGGCACTGTTCTATAAAACTAGGTCTGTATCCTGTAGAGGTTTGAAGAATGGGACGTGTTTTCATTGAAACCTCCATGACACTGAAAGGGATAGACTGGATAGATGCAGATAAGATGTTTCCCCTGAATGGGGAACCTAGAACCAGGGGCACCATTTAAGAATAAAGGGGATGCCACTCAGGTCTGAGATGAGGAGATTATTTTCTTTAAACCAGAAGATGGTGAACTTCTGGAATTTTCTACCACAGGGAGGTGTGGAAGCCTAGTCTTTGAGTAAGTTTCAGACAGATTGATAGATTTCTGATGACCAGTGTGTACAGGGTGATGGATAAGAGACATTGAAGTGCTAAGGCCATATTGAATGGTGGGCTAGGCTTGTTGGCCTGAATGGCCTGGTTCTGTTCCTATGTTTTCCTAAATAATGGCTTTTACACAGCCAGGCGAAGGATGTGGGTCCCAAAAATTAGTCTGCATTCTTCAGAAGCATGGTACCAGCATCTGATGAAGGGTCTAGGCCCGAAACATCAGCCTTTCTGCTCCTATGATGCTGCTTGACCTGCTGTGTTCATCCAGCTCTACACCTTGTTGTCTCGGATTCTCCAGCATCTGCAGTTCCTACTATCTCAAGTTGTCCCAGAGTGGCTTTAGCGCATTAAGGAAGACAGCAGCAATGTGAGAAATAAGTACCAATCACATTTGGCCTATCCATATCATCCTTTTATCTCTGTTCCCAGCGTCTCTCTATGATCTTTTTTATTATTCATTCATGGGATGTGGGCATCACAGTTTGGGCCATCATTCACTGTCCACCCTTAATTGCCAATGGGGAGGCATCAGCCATTCCCATCAATGTGGGGGAGCTGCTGGAGGTAATTTTTGTCCCTGATGGCACTCTGGGCACTGCCCCACCAACGCAGTTATGTCTGCATCCAATCCTGGCCACCAGACATAACTTCTCACCAACATCTTCATTTTGGAAACCCTTGGATGACCCTGGAGGAGTTCAGCTAGTATATGGCAGTGACCTTTGCTGAGAGCAATCACTCTTGCTCCCCATAATAATGTACCACCCTCTACTGTGATTTGGTCTCTCCGGGTCCAAAAAGGTTTCATTTCTGGTTGTGACAGCCCTTTGGTTTCCCCCGTCACCTCTAGCTGTTTTAGTTTGGCCAGGACTGGATCTTTCTGCGTCCAAAGTCTGACATTGGCAACTGTGACTGGAAGTGTGTCCAAAAAGTTTAAAACCATTACAGACTTTTCCAGTGACAGTACGCTCGGTGGTGTACCTGCCAGTGGGAGGTGGCTCAATGTATAACCCGGTCTTCCCGACTCTGTAGCCCAAGTAGGTTACTTAGAGGGGGCCTGGAATGCACATTTTTCCTTTCTAACGCATACGTTTGCCTGGGAGAACCATCTAAGGACCACATCCAAGTTCTCTATGTGTTCCTTATTGGTTTTCCCTGTTATTAGCATGCCATCTAGATAAATAGCAGCCTGGGATGAACCTCGCACAATGTTTTCCATCATCTGCTGAAAAATGGCACAGGCTGATGAAACCCCAAATGGCTCTCTCGTATATTGGCACAAATCCTTTTCGGTATTAATTGTAGCATACTTCAGGGAATCCTCATCTAACAGCATTTGCAGGTATGCATGGCCCACATCCATCTTCGTGAAGGACAGCCCCCTCTGCGGGTTTGCGTATAAATCCTCGATGCGCGGGGTTATGTATTTATCCCAATCACCAAGTTATCACCCCCACCTTCTCAGGGGGCAAATAGGGACAGACAATAAATGCTGGTCCAGCCAATGGTGCCCACGTCCCATGAATGAATGAAAATTTTCTGTATACACTTCCAGTCGGAAAGGCAGTTGAGGAGCCCGCTGTGTTTTTCTCCCGCACCGTTTGTGAGTTTGCAGCTTTCGCACGGCTCACATGCTTGTCCAGGACCATCGCACCTACCTGAGCTTTGTAGGTCACTGGAGCCGATCTCACGTCGACCATGCCTCTTACCCATGCAGGGCCATTCCTGTGGGTCCTACACTAAACTTCGCCCCCTGAAGTAAACAGTCTCCAATGCTTCGCGGAGCCTTGTGTCAGGCATTGGCATTTCACCTCCCCCCACCCCCAACAGGTCCAGGAAGAAAAACAGGAACAAAAACAGAGTTGTTGGAAAAGCTCAGCAGATCTGGCAGCATCTGTGAAGGAGAAAACAGAGTTAATGTTTCGCATCCGGTGACCCTTCCTCAGGTCCAGGCAGATCAGATTTAACCTGCTTGCAAGACCAGATTATAATGTCAATCCCTAACTACCTTTGAGAGAGCAATGATTAAAAAAAAAAGAATGAAATGCCTCCTTTGTAATTTATTTCAGTTGAAGCCTTCTGTTGCAGTCTTAATGCAAGGATAGCAGGTTTCCTTACCTAAAGAACATTAGTGAACCAGATGGGTTTTTACAGCAATCTGGCTGCTTCACGACCTCCAAAACTGAACTTAGATCTTTATTTCAGATTTAGTTAATTAGGCATTTTTAAAAAAAAATAGATTATCTAAGTGATGCAGTGGGATTTGAACTGACACCTCCAAATCATGAACATGGGATTCTGGATTACTCATAGGCACCATCCCTATAAAACAAACATATCTACAGCTCTTTCTGAAATGACTGTACAGTAGCTGGTACCGTCACTGGGAGAGTCTGTAATGGTCTCAAATTTTCTGAAAAAACCGGCTTCCTTCTGTGCTGTAACACCTCTGTGATCAGATCTGTAGGAATGCCCCTGAGTGGGAGTTGGTAACTGTCAAGTGTGCTCGCAGCTCGTTTTGGCTGGGATGGCAGAGGGGCAGAGGACATTACACATTATGTCCACCCTCCCGCACAAAGGGGAACATCTGGTGTCAGCAAAAAGAGAAATATCAGAATATTTACTGAGCACCCTCTCTTCATCTATTTCTTCCAGGCTGACATGTTTTCGGGAGCCATATTTATTCGGGAGGCACTGGGATTAAACTTGTATGTTGCCGTGGTGATCCTGCTTTCCATCACCGCACTGTATACTGTGACAGGTAAGAGAGTGCGTCAGGACAGGTCAGCTCCGTAAATCTTGACTTGTCCACAGTCAGCAAAGACAGGTAGATCCATCATTAAAGGTTAATCCACAGCAGAGTTGGGAGGGGGTGTGCGGGGGTGAGGTGTTGTGCCTGGTGTTGGGGCTGACCCTGTAACCATCAGCGACCTGATGTGAATACGTTGAAGACGGAAGGGTTGCAGGAGGCGTACAAATGCAATCTTGCTTTTGGTGTGACATGAGGCCTTACAGGAAGTGCAGTACACGTTCATCAGAGTGACTTTTACTCATTTAGGGGATGTGGGTGTCACTGGGGGGGGGCCTACATTTATGACCTGTCCCTAATTGCCCTGGAGAAGGTGGGGATGAGCTGCCCTATTGAGCCACTGCAGTCTATGTGGTGTAGATAGACCCACAATGCCCTTAGGGAGGGAGTCCCAGGATTGTGACCCAGCAACAGTGAAGGAACAGCGATACATTTCCAAGTCAAGATGGTCAGTGGTTCTGAGGGGTACTTGCAAGTGGTGGTCTTCCCATGTAACTGCCGCCCTTGGGCTTTGAGATGGTATGTGGTTGTTGGTATGTGTTATAGTTGGTGTGTGTTATGTTGGGTGGTGTTCCTTTAAGAAGTGGGTCACGTGACACTGGTGAGCCATTAGCCAGGTTCTTACAGAGTACACAGCTTCAGAATAAAACCTTCCTGTTGGGTTGCAGCAAACAATGAGGTTGTATGTTCTTTACTTCTGACTGGAGCCTAGTAACTGCACATTACAGAGCAGTTGTGGGTTTGGAAGTTGCTATCAAAGGAGACTTGATGAATTTCTGCAGTGAATCTTGTAGATAGTACACACTGCTGCTACTGAGTGTCGGTGGTGGAGGGAGTGGATGCTTGTGGATGTGGTACCAATCAAGGGCTGCTTTGTCCTGGATGGTGTGGAGCTTCTTTGTTGGACATCAGAGCTAGAGTACCCACCCCTCTCTTTCGCCAGCTCAAGTGCCTCCATCTCCATGGGAGTCAGAGTTCAAATGAGTAGCATGTCTCCTTCTGTCTTCACACTTGGCTTATTGTTGGGGTCCCTTTATTCCACCAGCAGAAGGGAAATGTAATGTGGTCACTGGGGCAGATTTGAAGAGAATTTTGAAAGCAGTCCAGGCAGAGAGGTTTACAGGGGGAATTCCAGAGCCTGGGAGCTGGCTGGCCAATGGGTTGGGGGGAAGGAAGTCAGACAATTAGTGGTGGGTGGTACTATATACGCCAGCACCGTTGGACCAGGGGTGGGAAATTAGCCTCATTTCCTCCTTCAGTTTGTAACTCAGTCGACCTTCTTAGAAAGCACACAGACGTTAATGGGCAAGGACGGGAACTAAATCTCACCCTCATTTTAGACTCCGCCCTGCTGGATATGACCCATATTTTGTTCGCATTAAATGAATGATATTTTTGATGAGCAACTACTGATGTGATGTGAGCCAATGTTGCTGCCAGCCAGTGTTCCACTAACTAGGGAGGTGCACTGGCCCAGTGTGTAAGGTACCCGCCTCTGGAACTGTGCTGTGAATTCAAGTCCCACTCTATGTCATAGAGATGTACACCACATCATAAAGGCCTTAAGGCCCGTCATATCCACACTGGTCAGAAACAGGCACCTAACTATTCTAACCCCATTTTCCATCATTTGGCCCATGGCCTTGTATGCTTGGCATTGCAAGTACACATCTAAATACTTCTCCAATGTTATGAGGTTTCTTGCCCCTAACACCCTTAGGGAGTTCCAGATACCCACCATCCTCTGGAAAAAAGAGAATTTCCTCACATCTCCTCAACCTCCTGCCCCATACCTTAAATCCATACCTCCGGTCAATGATCCTTCCACCAAGAGGTTTCCTCCTATCTATCCTGCCTTTATCCCTTACAATTTTAAACATCTCAATCACATCCCCTCTCAATCTCCTCTGCTCTGAGGAAAATAACCCCAGTGTGTCCAATCTCTCTTCATAACTGAAACTCTCCAGCCCAGGTGACATCCTGGTAATCTCCACTGCACCCTCCCCAGTGCTACCACATCCCTCCTGTAAAATGGATTCCAGAGCTGCATGCAGTACTCTAGCTGTGGCCTAACTAATGTGTCATTTAGTTCCAGCGTAACCTCCTTGCTCTTAAACCTTGGATGGCATGGTGGCTCACTGATTAGCACTCCTGCCTCACAGTGCCAAGGACCAGGGTTTGATTCCAGCCTCAGGCAACTGTCTGTGTGGAGTTTGCACATTCTCCCCGTGTCTGTGTGGGTTTCCGCAAGGTGCTCCGGTTTCCTCCCACAGTCCAAAGATGTGCAGGCTAGGGTGGATTGGCCACGCTAAATTGCCCATAGTGTCCAGGGATGTACAGTCTATGTGGGTTAGCCACAGGAAATGCAGGTTTGCACAATAGGGTAGGGGGTTGGGTGTAGGTGGGATGCTCTTCAGAGGGTTGGTGTGGACTCAATGGGCCAAATATAGAGATTCAATTACCTCTATGCCTCAGCTAATAAAGGCAAGTGTACCATATGTCTTCTTAACCATTTTATCTGTCTTCCCTGATTTCTTAAGGGGCCAGTAGATGTGCACAATAGGTCCCTCTGATTCTCAGTGCTTCCCAGGGTTCTTGTATTCCCTTCAGAGATAGTAGGAACTGCAGATGCTGGAGAATCTGAGATAATAAGGTGTAGAGCTGGATGAACACAGCAGGCCAAGCAGCATCAGAGGAGCAGGAAGGTTGACATTTTGGGCCTAGACTCTTCTTCAGAAATGGGGGAGGGGAAGGGGATTCTGAAATAAATAGGGAGAGAGGGGGAGGCGGATAGAAGATGGATAGAGGAGAAGATAGGTGGAGAGGAGACAGACAGGTCAAAGAGGCGGGGATGGAGCCAGTAAAGGTGAGTGTAGGTGGGGAGTTAGGGAGGGGATAGGTCAGTCCAGGGAGGATGGACAGGTCAAGGGGGCGGGATGAGGCTAGTAGGTCGGAGATGGGGGTGGGGCTTGAGGTGGGAGGAGAGGATAGGTGGGAGGAAGAACAGGTTCCAGAGACGGGGACGAGCTGGGCTGGTTTTGGGATGCAGTAGGGGGAGGGGAGATTTTGAAACTTGTGAAATCCACATTGATACCATTGGGCTGCAGGGTTCCCAAGCGGAATATGAGTTGCTGTTCCTGCAACCTTCGGGTGGCATCGTTGTGGCACTGCAGGAGGCCCCGGATGGACATGTCATCTGAGGAATGGGAGGGGGAGTTGAAATGGTTCGTGACTGGGAGGGGCAGTTGTTTATTGCGAACCGAGCATAGGTGTTCTGCAAAGCGGACCCCGAGCCTCCGCTTGGTTTCCCCGATGTAGAAGAGGCCACAACGGGAACAGCGGATGCAGTATACCACATTAGCAGAATTGAAGGTGAACATCTACTTGATGTGGAAAGTCTTCTTGGGGCTTGGGATGGGGGTGAGGGGGGAGGTGTAGGGGCAGGTGTAGGACTTCCTGTGGTTGCAGGGAAAACTGCCAGGTGTGATGGGGCTGGAGGGGAGTGTGGAGCGGACAAGGGAGTCACGGAGAGAATGGTCCCTCCAGAAAGCAGATAAGGGTGGGGAGGGAAAAATGTCTTTGGTGGTGGGGTCGGATTGCAGATGGCGGAAGTGTTGGAGGATGATTCGTTGGATCCGGAGGTTGGTGGGGTGGTACGTGAGGACAAGGGGGATTCTGTTTTGGTTGTTATTGCGGGGAGGAGGTGTGAGGGATGAGTTGCGGGAAATGCGGGAGACACGGTCGAGGGCGTTCTCGACCACTGAGGGGGGGATGTTGCAGTCCTTGAAAAACGAGGACATCTGAGATGTACGGGAGTGGAATGCCTCATCCTGGGAGCAGATGCGGCGGAGGCGAAGGAATTGGGAATAGGGAATGGCATTTTTGCAGGAAGGTGAGTGGGAGGAGGTGTATTCTAGGTGTATTCTAGACGTATTCTAGACTTCACAAGCTTCAAAATCTCCCCTCCCCCTACCGCATCCCAAAACCAGCCCAGCTTGTCCCTGCCTCCCTAACCTGTCCTTCCTCCCACCTATCCCCTCCTCCCACCTCAAGCCACAACCCCATCTCCTACCTACTACCCTCATCCCGCCCCCTTGACCTGTCCGTCCTCCCTGGACTGACCTATCCCCTCCCCTACCTCCCCACCTACACTCACCTTTACTGGCTCCATCCCCGCCTCTTTGACCTGTCTGCCTCCTCTCCACCTATCTTCTCCTCTATCCATCTTCTATCTGCCTCCCCCTCTCACGCCTATTTATTTCAGAACCCCCTTCCCCTCCCCCATTTCTGAAGAAGAGTCTAGGCCCGAAACATCAGCCTTCCTGCTCCTATGATGCTGCTTGGCCTGCTGTGTTCATCCAGCTCTACACCTTGTTATCTCTTGAGGCCAGTGCCTTTTCCATTGGAGCTCCATTGTTTAAGGTCTTGATGTTCAAGGAAGTTGCATTCGTCATGTGGCAAAACAGGTTGAACATCAGCCTGCAATTTCTTTTGATAGCCAATGGTACGAGCGACGGAGTTTCCTGTTCAGCCTGAAGCAGGCGGTCGCTGCAGGGAAACAGCTTCCCCATGTTAGAAACTCCAGGTTCCCCGTAAGGAGCAGACAGAATGCAGCTAACTCCCAGCAAACAGTGAGTGGCACGTTAATATGTCCTTGGTGCATTCGATCACGTCAGCCTTATTGTTCTGGAGGGTTGAAACTATTTCGAACACAAAGTCTTGTTTCCAAACCAAGCAGCAATCAATCTCTCACAATGGCTCATTCGCTTTGTTTGTTACCCATCAGTGCATGCTGTTGGATACGGGGCTGAAAGGGTTAATTCCTGACTGAGTGCAGAAAGCTCTACCCAATATGCTGAGATCAGAAGAATTTAGGGAGAAGTAAGGTAGGATCATGGTGGTAGACAGATTAACACTGTCCTCCCAACATTCTTTGTAGTAATCTACAGCCT